GGGTCAGGTGTAACATTCCAGTTTCGCCCATCTATCTCCAAGGTCCAGGGCAATATTGGAATTTTGGTCCAGTTCAGGGTTTCAAGAAAACCCACACTACATGTACCTCAGGTCTCACCCTGGCAGCTGAGACAAGCCACCCCAACCAACTTGGCGGTACATCAGTGTCAGCCTTGGCAGGATATTGGAGCTAAGGGCATACACTGTCTAACACATCATCTCTTGTTTTAGAATCTATATTTGTCATTTTAGATAGCTGATGCCTACACAGAAGAAGCCAATAGTTATCAGTGTGCCAATATAGATGCTAAAATAACATACAAGCACTATACTAACAAACATTTTGGTATTTGTCCATGTATTAGAAATAATCATAAAGCTTTATATTTGTGGATACAGGTGGTTTGCAAAACGCTTTCTACATCCAGATGTTGTATCTCCATATGATTTTATATTCCTTTGGGATGAAGACCTAGGGGTGGAAAATTTTCACCCTGGAAGGTATGCTTTGGTCCCTTGCTTATGATCTGGTTGCACATTTTTGGTAGACAAAATTATTATTTGCATAGATACTCAAATATTTTGGACAAATTATTTTTTAATTTTTCTCCTTTCCAACCTCAGCAGATCTGTTTGTATTGTTTCTATATTATGCATGCACCAATGTTTTTTTTTTTTTTTTTTTTTTTTTTTTTTTTTTTTTCTTTTTGAGAAAAGTTGACAATTTTATTGAAACAAGAAACAGGAGTACATGAGAGGATGTACAGCCATTGAAGAGACTTCACCAAGGAGATTACAAGGGTAACATGAAATCACTAAACAAAAAGTCCCTGCGAATCCCTGATTTTACTAGATTGTCAGCCACAGTATTTAGGGCCCTAGGGATCCATCTAAGGCTTACATTTTTTTTTTGATCAATAACACTTTCATTAATTCATCAGTAGAAAATTTACAAGTGGAAGACAAACACACTTATCTTCCAAAAGCCACAAAGAACTTCAAGAAAGGAAAAAAATACAAGGATACAAAGATACAAAGACACTTATCTAAGGCTTACATTTAACTGAGCCATAATATCTCTTGCTTCGACCAGGTGGTGCATTAAGCGCCAAGGGCCACTATCCTTCTCCCCTAACCATTTAATGGTATTTGTAGAGTCTCTTTCAATGGTTAGGGATGAAACCTCTTAGCAATTTGCAGGCCTATTAAGGCAGCCAAAACCTCAGCTTTTGTAGAGTCTGCAATCTCTAAGGGTCCACTGAAAGCCCATTGTATATTCCCGTCTTCCAATCCCAACTTCCCCTGAATTGCTTACTGCACTACTGTCAAAGTTCATTCTTAGGTCCATCTCCTCCCTTGCCATGGAAATTCTAGAAGCTGAAGTAGTCAAGGGAGAGGAGAATAGTACTTCCACCAAACTCCTTTAAAGGTATGCCAGGGTGACACTATGAAAATCACTGAACCTGTCATCCTACTATTGCATAAAAAAGTTATGTAGGAAATGAGATCTTCTGTTCTTCTTTCTTCCCACACTCCTCACATTACTGCATGAATTAAAGTGCTCCAATACGCTTACCCTTTCTGACCCAATCCCCTTCAATGCCACTGTCTAATGAAATCCAGAACATGCTCAGGGGAAGCCCAACTATACCCTATCATATTCAGAAAGTGATTCCAAGTTTTCTTTGTCTCGGTGCAATGAATCAGGATGTGCTCTATAGACTCACCATCATTGAGGCACGAGATACAAACATGCAGGGAGATACATAGTCTTCTCTTGTACTTGGGTAAGTCTGAACACTCAGGGAAAGGTTTCAGGTAGGGATTGGTTTCCTCACCAGAGATCGGTCCAGAACTTAATCTTGTTTTCATCTCCCATCTCATATCTAATAATAGAGATAAAATTAGTGTAACAAGAAGAAATACCTTTCCAAGGGTTTCTCTCGGGTCAGGTAGACTTTGCTATCCCAACCATTGGCAATTAATCCATTTTTGCTTTTGATAAAATCTGTCCAAAGAGAGCTTGATTCTAGAGGGAACCTCCACAGCCATTTACCAAGAAGAGCTTGGTTTCTCCTTAAGATGCCCAAGGCCCAAACCCCCTTCCTCCCTTCGTTTGCAAGCTTGCTTCCAGCTTACGAGATGACACCTTATTTCTTTGCCACCATCCTACAGAAAATCTCGTTGGATCTTCTCAATTTGATCTGCTACCTTGAAGGGATAAGGAACACAGAAAGGTAGTAAATAGGCATATTTTCTAGGGATGCCTTAATTAGGGTGAGTCTCCCCCCTTTCAAGAGGTAGATCTTCTTCCAAGTGGCTAATCTCTTTCACAGTTCTCAATCACCGGGTCCCAAAATTGAATGTTCCTTGGGCTCCCTCCTAGAGGCGTCCCTAAATAATTTATGGGCAAATTCTCCACTTTACAACCCAACACTTCCTGGATTCTAGTCAATGAGTCTATCAGCAATGTTTATCTGGTTATCCCGACCTGCTTTTGGAGAAGTTCATGGAGACCGGACACCATTTCAAAACAACACCCTTTTCAAATGTGTAATATTCTGTAAATCAGCTTCTAGGAAGACAATTACATTGTCAGCAAAAAGAAGATGAGAGACTTGTGTGGCTTGTCTTCCTACTTCGAATCCTCTTATCAATCTTAAAGATTTGGTCTTCTCAAGGAATTGACTAAGAATATCTGCCACTAAGTTAAACAGAAAAGGGGAAAGAGGGCAGCCCTGTCTTAGACCTTGACTAGCTTTGAAATAACATTCGTGTTCTCTGTTTATTAACACCAAAAACCAAGCTGAACTAATACAGCCTTTTATCCAACACAGCCATTTGTCACCAAAACCTTTCAGCTTCAAGATACTCAGCAAGCAATCCCAATCAACATTGTCACAAGCTTTTTCGAGGTCAAATTTGATTACAACTCCCGGCTGACCTTTTTTTTCCTGTCCTCAACACTTTCATTCACCGCTAGAATGTTATCAACTATTTGGCTCCCTTTTATGAGAGCATATTGATTAGAGGTAACGATGTCCCCCACCACTTCCTTTAGTTTTCTTGCGTAGACTTTCGCCAAAATCTTATAGAAGCTTCCAATCAAACTGATGGGTCTGAAGTCCTTTGTTTCTAAAGTGCCATTTTTCTTGGTGATTAGGCAAAGGAAAGGTGAGTTATTACCTTTATTTTCAATGGCCAAGTGGTGAAAGTCCTTAAAAACCTCCAACAAATCCTCTTTAATTATTTCCCAACAGGTTTGATAGAAAAAAGGGGGAAACCATCTGGTTCTGGGGCCCGGTCTCTGTCCAAACCAAACACCACTTGTTTAATTTACTCCTCCTTAAAGTCTCTTTCCAACCAATCTCTCTTTTTTTTCGATAAATAAATTCATCTTCCATTAAATTAATGATTGGTTACAAGAAAATCCCTTTAGAGGCGCGAGGTGCCGCCTTCCTAACAGCAAATACAAGAACTTTTATAGAAATTACATGAATGTTGATGTTAAAACAAGAGTTACAGTTGTGCCCAGAACAATGTTTCCCTCTTTATCCCTTGTTTAGCCAAGACATCTGCAAATGCATTAGCTGATCTCCCAACCCACTGTACTGTTATAGACATATTTCTTGTCAGCCATTTGAATTTCTTTAACTCATTTTTGTAGCCCCAAGTGACATCCTCCGGATTATTTAACCAGTCCACCACTGTCTTAGAATTCCCTTTAATCAGAAGCTGCTCCACGCCCACTTCTTTTGCAAGAAGTATTCCTTGTATTGCAGTAAACAGTTCTGCCTGGATAGAGTTCCCAACACCTAAAGGGCCAGAGTGGAGTAAGACAACCTCTCCAGCCTCATTCCTTAGTACACCTCCCATCCCAGAGGGACCTGGGTTACCCTGGCTACTCCCATCAAAATTCAGCTTCAAAGAACCAAGAGGAGGGGGGACCCAGCTAGTCAATACCCTTACCTTGTAGGAGGAACAGCTTGCTACCAATTTTCAATCCTTCCAACAATCAGTAAAAGAGAGATGGTTAAATAATTCTAGAGTCTTTAACCAATGTATTGACCTGGACATAATGCAGTCCAATCTCTCTTCTCAATTGATAGAATGTAATTGCATCTATTTCACCCCTCCCTAGGCCCTGGATAGCTGGAGTGGACCAACATTGGGTAATGGCCTTTATATCCCTCTGTATATTTATTTATTTATAGACTTCTCTTGGGATCTTTAGGCCAAGGTAGAACTTTTTGATTGACTTTACTATCATGAATAAGTTATATGACTAACAGATTGCTTCAAGTTTATTAAGATTTAATTACAAATTTAAATACATTAAGTATAACATTTTTTGTTAATGATTTTTTTTTTGTATTAGTTGGTTCAGTAATAACTTAAAAGATAAGATATAAAAACATGCATATATACATATGCATGTATGTAGTGTTAATTCAAAGAGAAAATTTTAGTACATCTCATTAAGATATTACAACCACCCAAATACAAAAGATTTGCATTAGTGCCCAAAATAGCTGATGTCCATTTACCCCTTGTTTTGATAATGAATCCACCATTCTATTCACAGATCTTCTGACCCTTAAGTAAGAAGTGTTTAACTCCCTTGATAAGCAATCAATCTCGTTGAAGACATGCCTATAAATCCAATGTGCTTGTGGCATATGCCTTTTGCCCAAGTATGATTAACTTTGAGTCCCCCTCTACTTCCAGATTTCAAAAGTCTAATTACTTTGCTAGGCCTTGCAGTAAGGTCATCAACTTAGCTTTCAGGGAATCTCCACTTGCTGACCCTGGGTTATCCATAGAACTCCCATCAAAGTTCAACTTTGGTTTATTGTTTGGAGGAGATTGCCATTCTATAACCAACTTGTCTTTTTCCTTTGAGGATTGTGCTACTTCTGCCCATTTTCTTATTATATCATTCGTTGAAAAATCTTAGAAAATTTCCATAGTTTTTACCCAGTGTGCCACTTTGATTTTTATGGAATCTACTAATTCCTTGGGCCTACTTATTTCATTGAACATTCTCCCATTTCTTTCTTCCCAAATAGTCCACACTACTGCTGCTGCTCTAACTGCCTTAAACATTACTCTTCCTCTTTTCTTTGGCTGCCTTAGGAAAGTTGTGTGAAAGAGACAACATTTTGAGGAGGGAGTCACTTGCACCCAAAGAGAGAGCATACGTATACATAAAATACAAGCGGGAAGGAAAGTAGTAAGAAGGATCAAATTTCACCGCTTGCTTTTCATTGAGTCCCCCTCTTTGATGTTACATCATACAACGTGCAACTAACCACCCAAGGGACTAGGATTGATAGTCCAAAATGTGGAAAAAAAGGATTGGCAGTAAATATGGGAGAATAAAATTTTTAACAAATTAAAAACTCTTCTAGATCAGACAAGATAAAGTTTTTCTAATTAAGAAATATGCCATGGGTCAAATTCAACATGTCTTGGACAACTGAGCCACCTTGGGAAAAATC